TTATTCCGTTTTTGCTCTTTTGATGTTGTGTTTCAGACGATGGTAGGGAATTTAGCTCCCCCGTAGTGGAGGAGAAAACCCTTGGTTGTTCATTAGTTTCGTCGTTTGACGTAATATAGTTCTCCTCGGCATTTCTCTTGTAATCGTCCTGTTGACTTTTACTCTTTGCCTTCTGAGAATCATTTTCCTTTCGTATTCCTTGTATCGGTTCTGAGGTTTTAGGCTCGGTAGCGGCCCAAGTGCTGAACTGTGGGTCGCTATATGCGTGCGTTATACCTACATTTGTACAAAGAAGTACGAAGGCAATTGTGAGTATTAACCACCTGTATCTCATATCTCCTTGTGGTGAGTGTAAGGTGGAAGGTCTCTATCCTATTCGGAGATAAAAATTAAGAAAAAAAAAAGAGAGGAGAAGAGAGTTTTTTTTGTCTTTCATTTGGTTTGTTTGCATAGCACTTTGTTAACATATATGTCTTTCGTGTCCGCTTTTGTTATAATATCTTGAAAATTAGATAGGACAAGAACAGTGGCGTATCTTCAATACACTCGGCAAGCAAAGACATGCTGGACTTGTTAATTGAGTTATGATTATGCTACTTGGAGTAGTAGCATCAAGAAATCCCTTTGTATTTTGTGATCACATACAATTCATTTTGGCTCCACCCATACCTTAAATGGTGTGTTTTATTTGGTAGATTGGAGTTTTAATGTGTTTTTGTGATTTGATAATACCAACCCAATTAATAAACATAAGAATCACTTACTGAACGGGTTATCATTGGTTTTAGTCTACGATATTGGTCAGAGTTTTGTTTTCGTTTTTTTTTTTTTGAGCTTCCAAAACAGGAGGTCCGCTAGAGGCATAGTAACCAAGTGAGTCGTAACAGTGAATGAGAAACCCAAAGGAAGAAGAGATTAGTATTCATGTGTGACGTTTAACAGATTTAATTTAATCATGATATTGCACATTTCCACAAGTAAAAATAGGTAACTGAATTGTAAGATGATTCCAGGGGTTCTATGTGCCATCGAAGTTCTTTTTTAAAATAACAATAACAGCAACAAGAAATCAAACTCAATTGTGTCATGTCCTTTTTTTCTTATTGTCTCTTACAAAAAAATAATTCTTCTTAGTTTACTGTTTTCATTCTTTTATGCATACCCTTGGTTTACCTGTCGAAGATATCTCGAAACGGATCTTCCAATGCCATCACGTTTCTTAGCGTACGTGAAATTGTTGCTCTTTATTATTATTATTATCATTATTATTATTTAGTTTGCCAAAGTTCGTCAGGAAAATTCGCGTGGGGGGGAACGTTTAAAGCCTAGAAACGGGGAAATATAGAAGAGTGTCCTGTTGATTTTAGGAACCCTGCGCACTCAGCAGTATAAAGAACCAAATTGCATCAAGGATCAACTTTATTTTTATATCACTATTTATTCCAAGTGGAAAAAAAAACTATATATACACACATGCGTGTATTCTCATATGCCCCATTATACCGAATGGGGAAATCCCGTCCCCACGGACTCCTCTCTTCATACTTTAGAATTCCCCTACACTCGCAGGTAGGATTCCTTTCTTTTTTGTTTTATTAACATCGAGTTCAACCATTTTAATAATATTCTCCAGCCGTACAATTAGTCTTCATCCTAAGACATTATCCTACGCAGCACCCGAAGCCCAAAAAACAAGCAATGACAAACCCCTCGCGTTGAGCTCTGGAATCAAAAACCAACACGAAAGGTAAATTGGTGTACTCCAATGGAAATACTAAAAAAAACATAGTTTAAGAAAAAAAAATTAAATCTGTCCGTTTTACAATAATAACCTAGGCTTTAGTACTTACTAAGGCGCAACACATCGTGTGTGGTGGAATATGTTAGAGTCTGAGTTGCAGAAAGAATCACCGAAATAGAAGGAATCTGTTAGTTTATTTTTTTTTTTTTTTCTATGGCGTACCCCACCACTATGAAAACCAATAGGAGCAAACTTCCACAGTGTTAAGAACCCCCTTGGCAAGAAAAATAAGAAACTTACAAGTTCCTATTCGTTTCAAAAGTTGCCAAAGAACCAATTCATTAATTAAGAAGAGAATCAAAAGGGAGACCCCAAATTCCTTTGCCTTTTCTTTTGAAGTCCTATTCGCCACACACACCCCTCCCCAAAATAAAAATAAAAAAACTTCCATTTTTCTGAGAGAAAAAATAATGCAATACATCTAATAGTTTGTGTTTAAATCCGTAATGTAACACCTAGAACACACCCACTTTAAGGAATACAATCACAGCTCATCTTTGATACCCCAGTAAAAACAGAGAACAAAATTAATCTATAGAGTAGCCCAAAAGATCCCTAGTATATAAAATTGTGGATTTAAATACAAAACATTCGTCAATTCTAATTTTCACGATATACTACCTTTCGTGCCAAAGTATTATAGTAGTTACTTTAATGTAAAATACTAAATTCAACGTCCCTTTACACCTCTTTGTGCAGTTTCCGAGGAACTGTAAACAACTCCTGATGTTAAATGTTGATATCGGAACAATGGTAACAAAGAACAGAGCTTTGGTACGTATTCTGGGTACTAAACAAATAATATTATCATTTTTATTTTTTTACTCGCCTACACACAAATGTCGTAACACGAATAATAATAATAATAATAATAATAATAATAATAAAGAGGAGAATGCACACAATATTTTCTTCTTCTCTTAAAACTTCTCATTCAGTACAAGAGGAAACCAAGAAAACATATAATAAATGTTTCCGCGTTTACCACAAACCCACGTTTCACCTATAGACCGTTAATAAATTCATTGCCCCACTTTCTTTAGAGTTACAAATATTAAAAAAAAAAAAAAACTTCCCGAAGAAGAAAGCAAAATAGACCAGGAAATCTTCATTTCCTTTCCCTGTCAAGCCCTGTATTCTGCTAGTGGTTACTTGGGTTCGACGAAAAAAGAGGAAAAAAATCAGTGTAAAGCAAGAAAGAAAGAGTGTATGAGCGGAGCTCTAAAATATTTTTCTTACAGGCACTCAAAAAACAACAAAAAAAAAAACCTCGATGAAATAATGAAACCGATCGTTCTTTTGAAGCCACCGACCAAACCCACAAGTCCTTCACTCGTTCCATATAAAGAAGCATCACCCCTCAGTCAAGAGACACATCGCAGCACCACACTTCATCAAATCCAAAGGGGTTACCACTGTTATGAAAAAAAAAACCATAAATATGCTCACCAGCACAGCATCTCAAAACAAAATTAAAAAACAATTATAAATAAAACCTTTAAAAGAAGTGTTTCACTCAAGAAAGACGTCATTAAAAAAAAAAAAAAAAAAAAAAAAAAACCATCTCTCCAAAAGAGTGATAGTCGTATATCGCAAGTTTGGATCAAAATAATCATTATTTCGTTTGTGCTTCACACCTTCTTTCCCATTAACTGCTGAGAAACCCAACTCTCATTGACTCCAAGGGCCCCAGTTTTTTTCATACTCACATGTTACAAATACAGGTGATTATTTCATCCGTTATCTCTATTGCTGCAGCAATGAGAGATAGGAAAACAATTCGACCCTCTTCTGAAAGAACAATAAAAAAGAAACGCGCGTATTATCGGCCGCAATGTACAAATAATAGCGATGATAGCAAACAATATTAATAATAATAATAATAATAATAATAATAAAGAAGAAGAAGAAGAATAAGAAGAATAAGAATAGAAACGACCACAGATTTATCTCATTTGTCTTTACAGGGCAAAATATGAATTGCTCATCCCGTTGTAACAATTGCAAATTACTCCTTCCCGCTCCATATTCTCTTACGGGGACAAAGGACACCGTGTGATTGGTTAATTATTCTTCTGGATGTTTTTGTAAGCTGCAACACATCAAATTTGAATTCCACCACTCTCGGAAACCAAATCTCCGACAAACACTCGTGAAAACATAAAAATCCTCGAAGAAGATAGAATGAAAATAACTTTGCTTTTTCCTCCTTAGCTTGATGATCCACGTACGAAAAAAACCGAAAAAAAAAAGGAGAAACAAAAAGGAAGAGAAAAACTAAACAGGCATTAAAAGCATTACTAAAGGAATAGCACGCCATGTAATTGTTGTCTACTCTTTTAAAAAGAGCAAAGGATCCTGAGAAAGCAGAAAGTTGGAATGGCAACGTTGTGCCCAGTAGCGGAAAAATCTAGTGGTGAGGATAGGCCTTGCGCCAAAAATCTTGAAAACAATAAGGAAACAATAGAAATTCAGAAAGACAACATCCAACAAGGTTGTTCGAGGGACGATTACTCAAATTATCATCGCCCGATTCGGTTGCCAACCGTTCTGAGGCCAGGAGCCAAAAAAAAAAAAAAAAAAACCCAAACAAAGAAAAACATCAAAATACCCATCTCCAACTGGCCAAACGAGGCGGCACAGCGAACAAAACACCCCAGAACCACCTCGCGGATACAAATCTTTGCGCCCCAAGAACCCGCGGCGCGCACCCACCCCGCCCCGTCCCACTGATGCCGGAACCGGAAACGGTGGAAAACCCCACCCAACCCCCGCAGAGAAAGCACTGGCGGAACTCGACCCCACCACCCCGAACGAAAAACGTTGAGGCGGGCGCGGGGTCTCGACCAAGGACTGGGGAAGGGTTTCCGGGAAAAGAAAAAGAACCTCGCGCGCCGGCGCCGCCCCCAGGGCCCAAGCACCGCAACAAACCACCCCCACCGGCTGCCGAAGCCGCCGCCCGGCTGAACCACCCGAAAAAAAACCAAAAACCAACACCACAGGGGAAAAAAAGCTTGAAAACGCCGGGATGCCCGTTGGGGAGGGGTGTGGGCGGGGTTGTGGTTCCGACGCGGCCGGAACGGGAACGCGCTGGGCAAAGCCCACCCCATCGATGGAGGCTTGTCCTCTAAGAATTCTCCTTCTCTTTTTTTTTTTTTTTTTTTTTTTTT